TACATTGCGTACGTAAACGCACGTACGTATGTGTAGGAAGACATTTGTCTTGAGGTACATACGTGGGTGGAGGAAAAAAAATTCTTTTTTCGATACACCTTGCTAGCGACTTACTTTTTTCCCCTTTGCGTAATGCGCACAACCTGCAATTTGTAAGGATGGTCAGTACCGGTAAGTGTATCTATACACTGCGAGAAGCCAAGTACGATATTACTCGCTTTTCTCATCGGGTGAATAAATTTAAAAAGTCTAAGTAACGTCGAGTGCAATTATACGCAAGGCTCGGCCGTACATACCAACACCAAACTGCTGTATCGACGAGCAGATCGCTTTTATTAAAAATTTCGAGTTTTCCATGCGCCAGAGGCAATCGATCGGCGCCAACGGTCTGTGTAATATGCATACGAACGGCGAACTATCGCGCTCTTTTCCGCTCAAACTGTGCAGCTCAACACAACCCCTCCTGCTGCTGTGTGCGTGCGAGCGGCGTATCGTGTATGTACACGAGCGTAAGGGAGAGCCACCGGCAGTGAACTCGAGGCAGCCCATATCGAGGTGACGTCTGGCGGCAATCTAAGCAACCTCCGAGCTTGGTTTTTGTCCGTGCTAAAAGCGAGCGTGAGACGGAGAGAAAGAGCGCGCGCACGCAACAACGTGCTGCGAATCGTCAAACTTTGATTTCCTTCTTTTTTTTCGATGGTTTGAGCACTAAATATGATCGTGCACGAGAGAGAGCGAAAAGTGCACGTATATCGCTTATATTCACGAACGCACAAAGAGTGTACACAATAATTGCGAAAAAATGACTCGACCTTGAGAACAGGTCTCTCGCTGCTGCAACTCCGAGGGTCTCTTTTTTTCTCTCTTTCTCTCTCTCTTCAAACGTCATCGGCCTTGATTCATTCGCTCGCTTGTATATGCTCTCGTGTATAAGGTATTGTACGTGATGTGTGCGAGCCGCCGCAGACATACACGAGCTGCGCGTCCGCATTAAGAATTTTAACGGGGCCAGAAGGAGAGAGAGATAGAAAGAAGCGAGCCAGCTCCGACTGTACTGCTCTGCACACACACGTACCACGTCCGGTGCGCATTACGCAATGAAAGAAACAAATGAAGCTTAATAGAAAAACTGCTCGAGCTAGAAAAACATTGTGCCCCGCGAGACACGACTGTGTGCGTTCGTGTGTATACGAGCCTGCACTACTCTATGCACTGACCAGTCTCTCTCTCTCTCTCTCTCTCTCTCTCTTGTAATGGGCATCTTTTTAGTGTCGACAATAATATATATTAAGTGCTGAGAGTCGACGAGCTGTTCTGGCTCGAGCCGCTGCACCGACTGCGTTGAAAAGAAAAATCTAGGATGACGAGTTAATCTCTTGATTGAGAGAACCGGAGTCTACGAGTCTCTGCTCTGTGTATATAAACTCGATTGCAGGACAAATTGAAATGTTCCGACAAATTAGCTGACTCGTAAAAAACGCTACACTGCATCACGTCTTTTTTTTGGCTTGCAATTCTAGCTCTGTATGTGTTGCAGCAAAAATATTTGGAGCAATGTATATATTTCGGAGCGATAGATGGAAAGAGTTGAAACGTGTGCAGCTCAAGAGAAGTAATAAACCTGTCGAAAATAGATGTAGTCACACGTACACACGCACGATCACGGGCACTGCAGCACACAGTTGCATATGTGCAGTGGAAATTATTTTAAGATACTCGAGTTTGATTTTTCTATTTCATCGCTTCCTACTGCAGATTCGGTCAGGATATTAATCCGCGCACACCAGCGGCGTGAGATATCCTCTCGTGTCTACATTATAATATATCGCGCGCATACACGAGCTGCGAAAGAGAGCCTCGTGCGCGCAAAATGTATTTTAGCCTCTTCAATCGTGAAATCCCTTCTACACCCCCTGAACTGCAACCCTTTCTCACCCTCCCACCCCTTTCCCTCCTCTTCGTCTCTCTCTCTCTCTCTCTCGCTTCATAACGTCCACATACGTGAGTCCATCCAGCCCCATTAATCATTCGCGCGGTCCTTTAATTATCGCGATAGAGCGAACGAATTGGCTGATAGCTCTGCTGTTGCCGAAGCACTAGCCCATTGACGGCTCTGTAATTGTCACTTTGAGGACGTTCGCGCGCGTGCCAATAGGTGCGTGTGCATGTGTACGCTCAATATGCCTACATGAGCTGATATATAAAGCTATATTAAGAAACCTTTTTTTTCGAAAGTTCGAGCGAGCATCGAAAACCTATTTTAAAATTGAGACTTTGTCCGCGTGACAAGGTTTCTTCGGTATTATGAATGACTTGCGGCCTCGTTGGCCGAATTCGAACGCTACGCATTACGTAAAACTCGGCAAAAATCAAACGACCGTTTCGATAATTCATACAGCAGATAGATTATTTTTTAGAAAACACGAGCACCAGCTCGATCCGGAGTGCAGAATTTTTCCATGACTCGGTTAAAGATAGATCGGAAAATTTTCGATTATAAAAGTCGTTTGCGGAAAGATTTTTCTGCCCCGGGAAACTGCACGCAGCTTGCACGGATCGCTCGAGTCGAGCGCGCGATAAAACAGGCAATTTTTATCGGGCCAATAGGCGACGCAGTGGCAATCGTTCTCGCGCCATTTTTTCTTTTTCGCTCGACTTCTTTTTCATTTTGCGTGCATAGTTCTGGCGTCTTCGTCGAATGTTGATAAGATAACAGAATGCATTTCGACGTACGAATATTGTATGTATATAATGTAAGCGCGGCGACGCGTTCGCGGATCAAGGTGACGGCAAAATAGATAAGCGTGCGTGTGCGCGAGTGCCATCACGAAAACAGACGCGTTCGAGAGGCTTTGTTCGTAAAAAACAACTTTTATTTTTATCGATCTATAAAAAAATATCGCTCGTTACATTATTTTTTGTGCACTAGTGCTCGTGTCGCGTCATAGATCAAATTTCTTTCGGATTATAATTCAAGAAAAAAATACTTTATTATAGGTACGCATCGGTTGTCAGTCTAGCCACGCCATAATCAAAGGATTTTTGCGACGAGCCTCGAAACACGCTCATAACTGCATTAAAGACTAAACATGTTGTTGGATGTGCGCCTCACATGAACGTATACCTTCTGCTGCTATCGTGAAACCATAATTATGTACCGCGTGTATACGTAGTGTGCACCGAGTGCCCACTTGCATGTCCATAATCAACGGCAAAAAAACATCAAAGCTTATCTGTAATGCGTAGTAGTAGGCGCATACACGATAGGAAAGCGTCAAAATTCGTGTCCACGTACATGGCAATACTCTCTGTGTGCAGAGTAAAAAATCATTCGAGTGGAAACCACGTCATCGAAACACCAACCCCCACCATCAGTACCAGCAGCAGCCAACGCTTTTCCCCTGCTAGACTCGCTCGCCTCCCTCTGACAAATAATTAATTTTTCTTTTCTGCCAGCGTCATCGAGAAAAACAAATAATCTGCCTCGGTCCTCTCCTCCTACGCGGCCAAAAATCATCATCGGTCTTGCCATCATTCAATGGGGTGTGTGTGGGTGCGCGTGTGCGATCGGTATCGGCACGCATAAATACAAGCGCGGCCGCGCACGAAGAGGCTGGACGCTAATCGAACGCGACAGGCGCCAGGAAATGCACAGTAGAGTGCGTGGCGTGGCGTGTCGAGCCCCGGGAATATTTTTGCGCTAGGCCAGGAATTTTCGCCAAAATCATCGAAGCGGCCCAGGTCATCGACGCCGTTCGCTCTCTCTCTCTCTTTCTGCCACCACCAGCACTAGCGAGAGAGAGAGCCAGAATGCACATGCACACACGCATACAGATGCATATGCGCGGCAAGGGGCACTTGGTACGCGCAAAAGTGGGGTGTGAACGCGTGAGTGTGTGCACGGGTGTACGTGTGGCGGCAGTCGCTCATTGGCCCGAGGCCCACACCGACTAGAAGGGGGTGGCTCGCGCTGCAGTCATCGATTCACCCAGTCATTGGTTGACTTGGACGCCATTTTGAATGATTCCGGGGGATCAATACGCGCGGCGCTACTCCAGCAGCAGTAGCGGCGGTGGCTGCTGCTGCTGCTGCTGCGACTACCGGGTGACGAAAAAATCATCTAACACACCGAGCGAGAGAAAGCGACCCCACTTAGCTACTGTACACCGCGTGCAACCAACGAGCCAACCCCCTATCGTGTATATGCAGCAGCCACAGCAGCAGCAGCCCTCCCTTGCAATGTGCATACATTCGTGTCGACGAGAAACTGCACATACACACATATATAACGGCTGGAAAAGGGGATGCCACTAGGCTGCTGCTGCTGCAACTGCATATCTCCTAGAGAAAAGAGAGGAGGGAACGACGAACCCTTCGTTAAAGTGCATCACACGTGAGGGTGGAAAAATTGAGCGAGAGAGACAAGAGCAAGTAAATACGTATACCCACATGCATACATTTCCGAGCTTTTTCTCTCTCTCTCTCTCTCTCTCTCCTTCTCTCTTTCAACCCACCCTGACTCGTTGAGGCAAGTATGAATGTTGACAGAGAGGAACGATGATCCCTGGAGATCGAATGATTTCCAACGAGTATTTTTCAAATAATGAGCTTTTTCTCGGCACGAAAAAATACGAGCGAATACGTGGCGCCCCCCAACAACGTTTTTCGAAATGACGACTGCCGTCTGTATCGTCTTACGCGATAGGGTGATTTGCGATCAAAATTTCACTTATTGCTAATTGCTATTTATATTCAAACAAACTGATTAGCGTTAAAATAACAACCCTTGAGAGCTTTACAGCTTTTCATACGTTTCCACTGATTACGTGTGTACGTTAATTTTAAACTATAGCAATTATAATGTCGAGCATTGTTACTCGAAATTAATATGAAACTAATCTCATAAAGAAAACGCGTAAATAAACATCAATTAAAAATTCCACTACAGAACCCGTATTGTACATGCAATTTCAACATACTTATATATCATGAGTACTTACATGTGTAACCGAATTAACTGAAACAAGGACATAAGGCTTTCTTGGTAGCAACGACTTTTAGATCACATTTTTAATTATTAAGAATTTTAGCGCTTTTTCGTTTTCGCTTTTTTTAAATTTACGTTTAAAATCTAAAGTTTTCAAAACTTGTTAAAAATATACTTTAGTCATTTCTTTACAATTTATTTCGTAAACGTCTAAAGTTCTCCTTCTTTTCTTTCCTCACTTTGTTCCTTGAAAACGTAGGTATATCTTTTTTTTTTGTAAGGCAATGCTTCTTTTTTCTTAATTTTGTTTCTCTCTTTTTTTGTATTTTTTTATATATTTTTTTACTTCGTTTTTTCGTTTCTTGAAATTTATAACTTTTTGGTTGCTTTTTTGTTGTTGTTCCTTGTTGTTCTTGAGCTCGTTTATTAAAAAAATTTTGAAATTAGACACGTTTACTGTTCCAAAAACTTGTGAGTCGCTTGTTATGTAAGAATCAGTTACTGTTATTATTGTAGTGGTGGTTGTATTATATATATTCCGGCAAAATCATAAAGTTGAGTTGTTCAGACTTTGTACAGAAAAATCGGTGCGTGTTTTACAAACGGTTAAATTAATTTTTCAATGAAATAACTATGACAACACATAATAACACAGTGCGACGCGTCTGAAACAGAAAAAAGAGAGGCAAGTGTTAGATTCGAGCTCGAAGGAGATCGAAAGTAACGCCAACGCCATGATCGCAAGCTCCGCTTGCGGAACTCGAGTGAACGACCGTCTGAGACCGTGTGAAACGTTTAGTTACGATTTGCCGATTTAATCGAATTTGATTTTTATTATTTATTTATCAATTTTACGTTTAGTATTCATTTGTAAACCATCAATAAGGTTAATTTTAGACGAATTTGTTAATTATATTTTAAACCAATTTTCACCCCATAGCTCAGGAGACATTTGTTCCTTGTAAATTCCCTTTGCATAAATAGATGATAAGAAAAATAATTTGAATTGAAAAATAATTTAACGATGAAGATTAAAAAATATGTTCAAAAGAATCAATAAAAAAAATGAAATAAATAGTTAATGTTCATATAAGATGAAAAAATTTGAAGAATTTTAATGAGAAAAACGTCAGAAATCATACGATGGAATGAATTTTGCAATCATAATAGAGCCAAAAGCATGAAATGGTGAATAAAAAACATACCTCGTGACTTCTGTACTAAAGAAAAAAATGCAAAAAATGGAACAAACACACTGAAAAACCTCACAATCCCACCCATGGATCTGGAAAACTTGTCATAAAATGGAGTCGCGTCGCCAAAACAAAATGGAGTCCAGCTAAGCGCGTGCTCATCTGACTGATCCACCATGACACTTGACGTAGGCGGCAGCAGCACTAGTAGCAGGAGCAGAAGCAGTTCTCACCGTCTCTCTTTTTCCGCACCAAATTTACTCGGGCACAGAGCGAAGCACACAAGTCTCACAGCACTTTTACCCGCGACGCAAAATTCAAAAGTACGCGCGCTCGAAAAGCTCGAGGCGCGATCGTTCTTCTCTTCGGTGCCACGAAGGTGGTGGCATTTTTCGCAGAACACGTGACCCCACGTATCGGCGAAGAAACGAGCGGGTCGGAGAAAGATAGAGAACGTCTTTGAATGCGCGCGGCAGTGCCCCTCTCCTCTTTTCGCCGACGCTGCCTTTCACGCTACCTTCCCCCTGTGCTTGCTCCGTAAGACGCGCGCCGTGCAAGCTCGCGTTCTCTCTCGGTCCTCTTCCTCCACCTCTTCTTCTTTCCCACCCTCAGCGAGAGAGCCGAGCTGCTTTCCCGCAAAACGCGATCCAGAAACTTTTCTCTTGCACTGCCACGTGCTGCTGCTGCTTCGTGCTGCGGCTGCCGCCGTAGTCCTCGGTCCAGATCTCCGTTGCGCTGCTCCGTACGTCGACTCTACGAGCGTCTCCTGAGCTTTTTCTATGCATTTCACGTCCTAGACTCGGCTTCGCGCACTTTTCCACACAAATTGGTCGTTCACTCTTTGCGATCTCGTCGATTAGAAGCGATTGGTATGATTTTTAAAATTTAAACTCGAATTAAAACTTGATAAAATCGCGGATTTATGGTAACCTTTGATAGAGGCATTGCGAGCATCCCCGTGTCTGAGTAGCAACTGCGCCGTGGCCCCGTGCCGGGCACCCCCACCTCACCTCGGCCGCGCCGAACAGAGAGAGCCTCGCCTCTGTCTTTCTCTCTCTATGCATACACACGGACGCACACAGAGATACACACGTACGTACGTATGCACGCGCTACGTACGCAACCCTCACTCTCTATCTCGCTTTAGCCCTCGGTCAAGCCGTGCAGAGCGTCCCCTCCGCCCCCGTATCGCTCCCTCTCGCGTGTGCATGCGTGCCTGCTGTTGCTGCTGCTGCTGCAGACTCCCCCGCGCCGTCCCTGCTACAGCCGAACGCATAGGTCGAATGTGCAACGCGCGTTTGGGAATGCACAGACTCGCTGTATCCGAGTCTATGTACTTGAGTATGTGCGTGCGGCAACGTGTGCGTGTGTGTCTGTAACCCCCCCGCATATCCACGTCTCCTTCCAGCTGCACATGTCTGTAGGTGTGTGTGTGCGTGTATGCATCGTCCCCCGAGTGCATCTCTCTCTCCGTCTCTCTTGCTCTTGCTCTCGCTCGTTCGTTCGGTGCATGCGTGTGCGGCCGATGCAAGTCTGTATTGCATACGTGTACGGTCATCCAAGTGACGATTCGCTGCTGCTCGAAACTGTACCAGTGCGCCGATGCTGGCTGCGCGTGCTCACTCGATTCGCGATTCGCAACTATTCAGCGGCCGGCAGCTTCGCCTTCGACTATGTATACTAGACTCGCAGCTAGGCAGCTCTGCGCCTAGCTAAACTATTTGCCTTCGTATTGCTGCTGGACACCGTACAAGCAAAAAGGCGGGGATGCAGCTCGCTCGATCCTGCTGCAGCGTGAATTCGCATCAGTCGCCGCCTTCCTTATTAAAGACTATAATTGCGTTTCTTTCGACTTTTTGTTCGAGATTTTTAGAAGAAAAAAAAAACTTGAGAAAAAATGGAAAAATGTACGAATAAAAAAAATAAACGAGGCATTTTTGGTATCAATTATTTTGTTTAAAACCGTACCATGACTCCCCCTCAACCCTTAGGAATACCGATCGTCTGATATTTTAATAACGTCGCTGCGAGCCTGAAATTGAGCCTGGAGTGAGTCGCAGAAGCAAGAAAAATCCTGGAATGTATAACATGCTGCAGACGCTGCAGTGTATAGCGCGTAAGGGTACAGGCGTACGTACGTACGGTGGGTTGCGCGCTCGTGTGTGCGTCGATGACGATGATTGCAAATGAGGGTGAAGAGAGAGAACTGCAGCAACAGAGAGCGAGCGGGCGAGCGAGAGAGAGAGAACACGATAGAGAGATAGAGGAAAAGAGCGAGTGGACGCTGAGAAAATCAATACCGAAATTAAACGCTCGCGCGTTCGGCCATCGTAATTTTCGACGCGTTGCACATGCAGGCGTTGCACTATAGTACATAGTGGGTACATATACGGTGCCGCTGGTGGCAACGTAGCGCGCGCGGCATATAACGCGTAGACACACTAGACCATTTCGGATGCTAAATTGGATTTCGAACGTTTTTTTAATAAAACAAGAGTGAGAGCTAGCGTTGGAGATGCGCCGACACCGTATGCTGCAGCTAGCTCTGCTACGTTGCACCGATCTGCAACGGCTAGCACACTCGAGAGTATAACTCGTCAGAGCTGCTGCTCGTTGAGTACTGAACTTGACAATCGTTATTCAAACGCGTTAAATATGGTCATCGGGTGTTTATGTCCGTACACACACACACACACGCACGCACACATACAGGCGCAAGCGTGTACACCTATGAACATACTCTATTGCACCCACTTGCAAGCGACGAATGAATGTTTTAGCGGATATAAAGTGGTTTTAGTCGTGCAAAATATTTTATTCATTCGATATGATGCTGCTTTACGATTGAAGTGCAGAAGAGAGAGAGAGAGAGAGAGAGAGAGAGAGAAAAAGAGATAGAGAGAAAGTAGAGAGATGCAATGAAATCCAGAAGGTCTGCGAGCGATTATAACAGCGCCGTACACACGACTTGTTTATTTTTGGCCGGTGGCTATAGTAGAGAAGAGTTAGGATATATACTTTTTAGACTTTTAACGAGCACTGGAGCTCTCGATACGTGTACGCCACGATCACGGCGAATATATTTTTCGACGGCGCATGGCATTTGTACGTGCGCTGTCCGATACTCGAGCAAATTAATAGCAGCCAAAATAGATTCGTCCGTACGCAGCCACGGATCATTTTGTATCAATCATATTGAATTCATAATACGAGAGCCGAGTTGACGGCTCGTGCAACATAGCGTATTGTCGAAGAATCTTCATCGGCTTTCTTTTTATTCGACTTTTTTAATTTTTTAATTTTTTTTGCTTTTACAAAAAAAAAANATTTTTTTTGCTTTTAAAAAAAAAAAAAAAAAGAATAAAAAATGCGCACGAGTAAAATAACGCAGACGCAGGCTAAAATTTTGATTTCATTGCAACTGCAGTTCCAGCAGCAGCAACAGCAGCAGTGGCTCTTCTGCAGGAGGGAAAATTTACAGCGCTTGGAGATATCTCTGCGTGTGCATCCAGCTAGTGTAGGGTTCAACACTCCCCTGACCTAGCTTAACCCCTCGCTGCCACTGCTTCTGCTGCTGCTGCTGCTGTACTAACTGCATCCAAGCGCATCTCCCCCTAAATGTGATGCAGAAGAGTGTATAGGAAGTCATTCCTCTCATAGCGAAATGTGAACCAGTATTTAATATAAGAATGACCGTTCTCTCTTTGCCACAGAGAGATCAGTTATAGTCATCGTGTGCACGGTCCTCCAGGCTTTCTCAAAAATAGCCACTAAAAAAGCTGTAAAAAATAATGCAGGCATTGCTCGTTGGATAACGAACCGGAGAGAGAATCGAAAATTGTCTCCCTTTATTTTTCCGAATGATCATTCGTATAATCCACGGACATGCCTCTTTCCCCTCGGGCTTTTCTCCCGATGACGACGTATCGAGTGAGTACGGTATAGATATAGCCGCCGCCACCGCCGCCGCATGCATAGCTCTGTGTACAAAGTGATTTCCAAAAGCGAGCCGGTTGCATGTATGCGCGACACGTAGACTGCACGCGCACACCGACGCCACCCCTTTTGCTTCGGCTCCTTGTACTTTGTGTAGCTGCTGCTGCTGCTGTTGCCTCTGCTGCCACTTCTATAC